AATATATAAAAAATATATCAAAAATTGATGTGGGTACTCAAATGAAAGGTCTCGATGAGTGTAACATTAATGTGAGCTTATATATTTTTAAAAATGTCAATAGTTCATAAGATACAAAGTCATTTCTTCATTATGTATCTAGACACAGAGCATTTTCGAATGCAGCCTAAATTCTTATTATAATAAATTGACTATTGGTGATAATGATATGAAACCTTGAAAAAGCACAACTCCAAGCAAAAACTCATTTTATCACATAAATACACTGGCCACAAAATTTTCCTTATTCTTTTAATAATATAGATTATTATTATTATTTCATTATTATTGTTGTTTTAACTACTATTGCCTACAGCATGAAAATCATGTGGCTGCCCCAATTTTTTTTTCCGTGTATATATTGTAGGAACCATTTCGAACTCACTCCGCACGAACATTTCATATTTATTTTATTTTGAGAATGATTCCCATAATGGTATAGGAATGATTCCTATAATGTTCTAGGAATCCTTCCTATAGCATTATTGAAATAGTTCTCATAATGATATAGGAACCATTACTATATCATTATGGGAATATTTCCCATAATATTATGGGAATGGTTCCTATAATTGTTTAGGAATCATTCCTATAATTATAGAAACCATTCCTATACTATTATGAGAACCATTCCCATCATTATGGGAAATTTTCCCATAATTCTGGGAAAATTTCCTATAATTATGGGAATAGTTCCCATAATTCATAGGAACAGTTCTTATAATTACCTGGGAACTGTTCCCATAAAATTATGGGAATAGTTCCCATATTTTTCTTTCCGTGTAGGTCATTCAACTCTAACCAACCTTCAATAGCAGCAATAATAATAGGATTCAGCCCCGGTCTACGAGGATCGTTTTTTCTGATTCGACTGGGGCCACCTCTTAAGTTGCTCTCCAACAATACATCAGTCTCAAATGATGCCCGGACGAGAGAAATTCCCATCGTTGTAAATGAAGACTGAGAATATGCTGTGTCCCATTGCCGTTGAGTGACGAAGACTTCTGAACCTTCATGGCCAATTTCAACCTGAGAATGGTAGATTTTCAGAAAACTTAGGTCTGCATTAGTTGTAAAAGGGTCGTAAAATTGTAGAATCTAGACAAACAGTGTAATTTTTTTGGACTTTGACTCAATTATCATCGCAACTATAATGACCTCAATTATCCAAAAAAATTCTTTATACACTTTTACGATAATCAAAAAAGGTATTCAGATGTTCATTTTGCTGCTTCAGCATGTCCAGTTGAACTTGCTTACCAACCTGCATATCCTGGCATAGATTCATCAGAAGCTGCGTGATTGATCGATTATCTATAAGTATTGATAAACTTGGATAAAAAATGGTGAATCAGACAAAAAACCTGACTGTCTCTGATTAATCATTGTGATCAGGTTTGTTTGAATCAAGTACAGCGCCAGTGTGCTATATGAAGTGGTATCTGATCAAGACATTTAAGATATAATGAGATTTGGGCATGTTTGGACCAGTTAGAGCACCAGAGTTTCATATGCATTGGTGTCTGACCTAGACATGTTAGATCTGCTTAGATTTGGACATGTGGAACTAGATAAATCATATATCTCTCAGACCTGATAGTTTCTGATTAAAACATAGTCAAATCTAATTAGATCTGACATGTTTGGGTTAAGTATCTTAGAACCTGAGGAACTGGTGGTGTATTCCGCCCAAACATAGCACAATCTGATCAGGTTTGGACATGTTTGAACCAGGTACAGCACCAGAGTGCTAAATACAGTAGTATCCAACCAAGACATGTTAGATTTTATCAGATTTTGACATGTTTTAACAGAATACATAATCTATCTCTTAGACTTAGTAGTTTCTGATCCAAACATGGCAGAATGTGGTTAGATCTGACATGTTTAGGTTAAAAATCCTAAACCTAATAGATTGGTGATATATTTTCTCCAAACATGGCATAATCTGATCAAATTTGACATGTCTTGGTCAGATAATTCTGCAATTGACACTCTAGTGCTGTATTAAACATCAACATGTCCAAACCTGATCAGATCAGATATTTCTGGGTCAAATCTGATGGTGTTTGTCAACGAACACTATATTTATACCTCCGGCATCAGGCTGCACAGCTAAAAGCTCATCAATTCTGTCCTGTTCCATTTCATGACCTGACCCTTGGCCTGAATGTTTTTTCTTCCTCCGATTCTCAGCTTCAAGTGTCGCTTCCATCGTGCCCTGTTCTGCGCTCTTACGTTTTTGAGTTGAATCTGAAGTTGAAGTCGACGCAACTGCTTCAGGCTCTTCAACGTTGTCGTACACGTCATCCAGCTTCTTCCCAACAGGACGCTCCAAAGTGTCATCAGCAGGGGCTGGACGTAAAGGGGAAACAGCGCCCTCCAATATCTTGATCTCGTTCTCTAATGATTGAATACGACCTAAAGACGGAAATAATCAGAATAGCTTTCTAGAACCTTAAAACACTGAGATCGTATGAAAACTCGATTTTAGAAAATTGAGATGAAATGAGCAATTTAAAAAACTTCTCATTTTCCCTAGTGCGAGGTTGACAACGAATTCATTAGTTAACTCATGTGAAAATTGTCTGTCAGGCTTTTTAATAAAAACTTACGAGATACGCGAACAACTTTGGCATCATAGTATTTCCAACCGTGTTTTGGAACTTTTCCCCCTTTGCTGACACGCCATTAGACGACGAAGGATTGATCTTCCTGTTCGTTGGCCGGATCAAACTTATCAGCGTCGAAGTCCAATATCCACTCGACGGGTACACCCGCGGTATAGGTATCGGCGTATTCGCCACCTATCCACTGGACGAAAGCAAACTTCTTCTTCATAATTAAAATTATTTGAAATTATTGAAGATAAAATATTAAATAAATGTATATTTATTCCTGACAGCTCAGTGAACCTCAAATAAATACTTATCAATTCTTATGTTCGACTTTCAACTTTTTTTTTTATTAGTAATCTGCAACGAACATATAGATAGATAGAAAGATAGTAAATTTTATTTGACTCTAGATATATTCATGCCTGTATATGCGGTATCACCATAATTACCGTTTGAAAGCGCTCACAACAAATTAACGTTCAAAAAGGAATCACTCCAAATCTTTTCAGCGTTAAATGTAAGAGCACCAGAGTTTCTAAGGTTATGAAGAAAAAGCGTGGCCCCTACAAAAAATATAATTTTTTTGGGAGTACGACGGAAATTCCAACGAGAACTCGGAATCGGTGGAAACAAAAGTCCCGCATTCAACGGTAAGTTTGATGAAACAAAAAGCTAGTATTCAATGTCATTTTACTACCTAAGGTTTATGTTTTCATGAAAAAATTCAATAATTAAAAATTCAGGTATGCCAAGATGTTTACTCCAGAGGAAGTTTTAAATCGTTCGACTCAATATGACGGTGCCATAGCGAGTTTGAAGAATACTGTCGAACAATACCCTCACGACGAACAAGATTTGAATAAAAATCTTACTACAGATTGAAACACTGAACTTTTTGTTTACTTAAAAAATCCAATTTCTTAAGTCATCAAGTCCTCGCAGATAGGTAAATGATCACTTAGGCTTCATTTAATTGGGATACACTGTTCGGGGATGTTCCGCTCCCTGATTTATATGTACACTTCTCACAAAAATTTAGAGAGCAGAAAAAAATCCAAATTTTCGGGGGATTTTCAACAGGCTATAACTTATACAAAAATGGTCGCACAGCAAAAAAAAAAAGCAAATTGTGGCTCTAAGTGTCTAGTTTTTGGATCTGAGTTTGAAAACTTTTTTTTGTAAATATTTTTCGAGTAATCATAAGAAAACCACCGAAAAAAAAATGTTCGAAATTTTTTTGGTTTTTTTTTTAATCTACGGACCTGGAAAAAATTTTTTCAACTTAACCTCTATATGGACCGGATAGCTTGTTTATTCAGCTTGAATTTAGTTTTTTAAAAATGTCAATACGAGCATTTCTCGCTGAGATATCGGTGTTTGAATGGAAAAGATCATTTTGTCTTTGATTACCAATATCTCAGCAACCAAAGATCGTACAGAAATTTTGAGGTTGGTTTCAAAAACTTGAATAAATTCTCTACAAGGATTGGCAATTGAATTTTGAAAAAAAAATTTTTTTTCAATCATTACATGAATTTGAAAAAGCATCCAAAAAAAGGCTTTTTGTCGTTTTTTGGAAAATCAAGCGCCCAATCAAAAATATTGCGGAAACCACTAATGTTAAGTATGCCTTTTACTGTTCAATATACCCACAAAAACCCTACGAAGTTTCAATTCAATCCAGCCAACCGTTTTTTTTCCCACTTGATCGAATTTTTGAAAAAATTAAAGGAGCAAGAATTTCGCTCTGAAAATGTCATAATTTTTATCAAAATAAAAAAAAAAAATTTTTTTTTCATTTTTTTCTCAATTCTGTATTAGTGACTTGGAAAATTTAAGAAAAAAAAAAAAAAAAATCGAAAATTTTTGAAAAAAAAATTCCAAAATTTAAGAAAAGAAAAATTTTTTTTTTTTTT